TCGTTTAATTTCTAATTATACTTCGATAGCCAAGTCCTTGAGATCACAAAAGTAGATGTTTAAAGTGAATAGGTAGCTATCTAAGGTTTAATTTAGTGATATGAGGCACAAGTGTAGTTCAACAGTTTATTTAACACACTTGAACAAGTAATAATTCGTAATTCAAGTATGTACACAGAATAAATAGTAAAGTGGATTGACCTCATTGAGGCTCTGTTTCAAAAACATATTTCGCAAAATTACCACTTTGAATAGGCTTATTATAAAATTTACTAAATGTATTTGATTTGTTCGCCCATCCAGCGGCTTTTCTTATGGTTTCTATGTTCACTCCTTTTTTGAAAACATAAGAAGCATGTCGAGTGCAGTGGCCTGTAAACATTGATGTAACAACACCACTTTGATTGAGGCCACTTCTAATCCACCTACTGATGGTTTGAGTTGTTGCTGTGTGGTGCGGTGTTTTAATTGTTATCAATAGTTGATCCGAATTGTTTCTGAGGTTATTTGTTATTTTCATATAATAATACATTACCAAAGCCACGCAAAGATGTGGCTTTTCAAAAAAATATGGCAATATGAGTATCGGTTGAACTTTGTTCGTGGCCGATGTTTTTAGGAAACCAGTTATTCTTATTTCTATTCGATCATCGAATCTGAAAATATTTTAAATTATTATTTTTGATAATGTTTGTATGCGTTGTGCTGTAGCAAGAGCTAGCAGTACAACTAACTTTATTGTTAGGTTTTTTAGAGTTAACGATTCTAAAAGTGATAATGTACTTAAGTAGGCCAAAACTGGATTTGGATCCCAGGTTTTGTTGTACTTTGGAAATGTGGGTCGAGACCTAAAAATTCCTTTGAGAAATCGATTCAACATTGAGTAGCGTACAGATAGCTGACTTATGAGTGTTAAGGGAGGCGTACGAGGCTCCTGCATCGAATTCAGTTTGTAAGAATTGAATAATTTTATTTTCACAAGTATCAACCCCTCTACAAAATTTCCACCATTTGAAATACGTGGTGTTATACTGTTTCTGAGTGGCCGGACTGAGAGAAGCAAGAATCGTTTCTGTCGCTTTTTCTGGTACTCCTTTTAATAAATACGCTTGCCGAATAATTTGGCAACACCCAGGGTAAGTATTTTCCATAGTGGGTGGGGTGTCCTGGAAGGAGAGAGGAGTAAATGTTTGGCAAAGGTTCGATTACTATGAAATTTGAAATTTTGAGCTTCTCGATTAATGGGAACCAAGGCTGTGTTTTCCACATAGGAAAGACCAAAATGCCTTCGGCTTCATTGGAAATAATCTTGTTGAGTATACTAGTTAGGATAGAGAAAGGTGGAAAGGCATAAAATTGATAATTCTTCCAGTTTAAAGTGAAAGCATCTGTGTATTCCGATTCGGGATCTTGGTGCCAGAAAACAAATTTCCCACATTTTTTATTCAGATAAGAAGCAAATAGGTCAATGTTGAGAGTACCGAATCTTTCAAAAATTGTTTGTGTAATAGCTTGATCTAAACTATACTTCGTTTCTATGTTTTCCCTTGATTCTCTATCTGCTAACCTGTTTTCTTTGGAGTTGATGTATGAAGCAAATGTCATTATATTTTTGTTATCACACCAATTCCAAATTTTTTGTGTTATTTCGTTCAGGTGCGGAAACATTATTCCACCCAAACGGTTTATATATGCCAAAGACGTTGTATTATCTATTCTCAGTAACACGTGGTAATTGGTACCGATTTTAGTAAACGACTTGAGCCCATTGTATGCGGCTAATAGTTCTAAGTAATTGATGTGATAATTTCTCTCGATATCGGTCCAAGCCCCTCGAGCGGTTCTGTCATCACAGACAGCACCTCACCCTGTACTAGAGGCATCCGTGAAGATCGTCATGTCGTAGTTTTTCTGACCTAGATCACTTCCACAATTACTGGGGATAGATAACCACCATTTCAATTCTTTTTTGCTTGAACCTTATATGTTCATTTCCTCGTAGAAATTCCCATTTGTTATTTTTAACGCTTGAAATTTGTTTCTTTCTAATATTTTGGTATGTCTCCAGCAATATTCTATTGCTGGACAGATTGAAATGAGGGTGCCAATTAACTTGGCAAAAAAACGAATGGAAGAAAAATGTTTACTTAAGCATAGTTTTATCATATTTAAACACCTTTCCACATTTTCTTCGGGTAGATTACCTGATTGTCATTCTAATACTACTGAAAATAAACCCAAGAAATTGTATTTCTTGTACTGGTATGAAAATACTTTTTTCTTTATTAATGATGAACCCTAATAAAGTGAAAATCGTAACTGCAAGTTGTGTATGTTTTAAGCATTCACTGTATGTTTTCCTATTAGGAGTAGGTCATCAAGATAAACTACAGAAACACATCCTTGAGATCTTAAATGTGCGACCACTGGCTTCAAAAGTTTGGTGAATACATAAGGAGCAGGGCTTAAACCGAATGGGAAACAACAAAATTCATATAGATGGAAATCGTATTCAAATTTAAGATATTTTCTATGTTCTTTTGCTATAGCAATTAAAAAGTAGGCATTTTTCAAGTCTAGCTTCGACATGAAGCAGTTTTGTGATATTACATTTTTAACAGTTCGATAGTCTTCCATTTTGAAACAGAGGACTGTCAAAAAAGTATTGAGTTCTTTTGAATTTAAAAGAAAATCTATTATCTCCGTTTGGTTTTCTCCGCAAAAAATAAGAAGAAATAATTTTTTTCCGACAGTGTTTTGATTCAACAATAGCCCCCATTTTTGGCAGTTCGCCAACAGTCTCAGATAGCTCTGTGAAACGACCAGCAGAAAAACATTTTGTTTGCTTTGGTTTCTGGTTGAATGAAAGTTTGTACCCTTGGACCCAACTAAGAATTAGCTTGTCGGTGGTTATATGTTACCAGTTGTCAAAAAACATGGTGATTCTTTCTGCCAGCGCATTTTACCTTTACTTGTTCTTGGGGTTCCTGGACCTGTGTGAAAATCGCCTCTCCGGACGTTTGTTCCATTTCTCCCACTCTCTCTTGCTGCTCCCCTCCTCCTTTCTCTGCGGTTCCTTGGAGGAGGGGCGTTTCCAGTTTAAATGGTTGATCTTAGATTTTGATGCAGATGTTGGTGGTTTCTGAATACAGGGCTTTTGCTTGCTGCCTTACAGTTTTCACTCAGGTCCGATCCGAAAAGAAAGTCATCAATTTTTTGACTTTCAATTACTTTCTGGATTCGGGGACTCAATCGGTTCTTGAGTTGATGTCGCCGATGGGTTGAGATAGTATGATGAGTGTCTGTAATCAACTTTGCAGCATCGACCAAGGATGATACGAGATTATTATCATAACTTTTCAGGTTCACGAATAACAGTGATAGAGAACATCCTAGTGCTGACAGGCCTCTGCCCAGCATTTTTTGAGTATTCTGAAGAAACGTCTCTTTTTTCAGTTCTGCTGGAGCAAGTAAATGAGCTTTCAATGAACCATAGTTTCCAGGAATGTTCCATTTTTTCCATAGCTCCTGACGGGTTTCTTTATCAAGGCCAAGTGTTAGATATTGTTGCCACCGGGAGGCCAAGTCCTGTGCTATATTTGGTTCGACATAATTTTTTGATGTAGGGTTGACTCCCAAAACCTCTGTCAATTGAGACACTTCCGGTATATCATTCAGGTCGGAGTCCGACCCTGATTCCGAACACGATTGAATATTGCTTGAGGACGAACTGCTTGCGGACAAAAAAGTGTGTTTTTATGAAGTGAGTGTGTTTATCTTCGAATACACAAATTCAACCAGTTTCAGTCAATTATGGAATGGATGTGAAAATATTCAATCATTTTCGGAATGAAAATAAAATTTTTTCAGTCAATTATTTTCGGAGTGAAAATGAAATTTTCCAATCATTTTCGGAGTGAAAATGAAATTTATCATCATTTTCGGAGTGAAAATGGAATCAGTTGGTAATTTTCGGAATGAAAATGAAACTGTGTGGCCAAAATCGGAATGAAATTGGCATGTTTTTCGAAATAAAATCCGTCTTCTGAAAATTTGAGAATTATCACTCACTGCTAGATAAGTCTTGAAATTTTCTTTATCTTCTTATTCAGGGAATATAAAGCATCTAATTTTCGTTTTCCCATTTTGCACTCAACACGATATTTGAACATACACACTTTAAGCGTAAGAACTATAGTGAATCAAAACAGGCCTCGGATAGCAGACAACGGGTGGTACTGATAAGTTTTTGCACGACTTTAAACATTACGCACAGGATCGGGCTGACACGAACAACTTCCTTCGTGATCTCGAGGACGTGGCTATCGAAGTATAATAGCTGTTACCAGCTCTTATATTAACGTAAAGCCGAAGCTACTGAATCTAGAATCTTGAAATATGCAGGTAGGTTCTTTGTATAGAGAAAATAAGCATCAAGAAAGAGAATCAGGAATTTCCCCCCAAGGGGAGAAATGGGGACCCAAAGATTGTACTGAATTCGTGAAGTTGGAAATCTGAAATTTGGCCTGACACGAAACTTGATGTGACAAACCAAATTCTGCCCGGGCGAAGCTGCGGGCATAAAGTAGTATACATAAAAACGGGTGCTACAGGGCGAAACGCGGCCTTCGACGCGCTATTGTACAATACTGTAGTACATTTTTTGATCTATCTCGTAGGGTTCAGCCAGCATTTGAATCACTCTATCTATTAAAACACCCGCATCAAAATCCGTTTCGTAGTTTTAGAGATCCAAGCATACACAAGGACAGAGAGCGTGAAGCAACTTGGTTTCATACTATATATTGATTAACGACATAAAACTATTTCTTTTTGCCTTGCAAAAACCGCAGCTTATCGCTGTCGGTTCTAATCTACCAAAACTACAGAATTCTCAAACCATCTTGTTGCTAATTATCGGATTCCAACAGCCACACACACAAAAATACGTTTCACGGATCTCAGACGCGTTTTTGTGTTGATTAATTTTTTTGTTCCAGGACTCATCTGTCCCCTACCAAAATCACCCGATGAATGGAAACGTAGCAAAGGAAATGAGGATAATGGGCCACGGGTCGCAACACGGGCATTCATCAAAGTACGTATCCCAACGAACTGGTAATTGTTAATTAAGTCGGGAAGACGAGTCGAGATGGGCCGGTAATGCGATACTCCAATCATTTCAGTCGGTTTCACGGTGATCTAACGACGAATCCGGATAGATCGGGCGTGTTTTGCGTCAACGATTTATCGCTTGGAGAATTGTGGGAACTGAGACAAAACCGTAGCCAGGTCATGGACGAAAATCAGCGCAAAACGCCGTAATTTCATGGGTTCGCTAATCTTGGAAACATGAAAAAGTCGCAGGGTGTCAAATCTGGTTGATACGGTGCAAAACTTTGATATTGATCAAACTTTGTTTTTTTGGTTTTGCCTCTCCTGGGCTCATCCATTGGGACAATTGGACTTTGGTTACGATGTCATAACCATTTATACCCATGATACGTCACCAGTTGACGATTGCCCCGAACGCCCCAGCCGATGAAAATATTGAGAAAGTGAAGAAAATTGTTATGGAGAATCTTCGAATCAGAGAAGTTGCTGAGGATATCGACATATCGGTCTGGAAGAGCCCAGGAGAACTAAGACCGAAAAAAACACGCCAAGTTTGATCAAAAGTAGGTTTTGCTTACTGTTTTTTTCGATACCGTGGCGTAATGCATCAGGAATTTTTGCCACATGGTCGTACCGTCAATAAAGAGTATATCTTGAAGTTATGCATCGCTTGCAAGAAGCAATACGGAGAAAACGTCTCGTATTGTGAATGGCTAATCAACAGTTGACTATAGTTTCTCTACAAGAACAAATAAAATTATTGCAAATTCCAAACATCTATCAATTCGCGCCATCTAGCTTCCAAAGAACGAACGATGCAAATTGGGAAAGTAGATCTCCCGGGCAAAATAATTCAACCTCGAAGCTAAACCAAAGCTTTGCAAATCTCGAGCATAGATCAAAAACGGTTTCTTTTTCTGACAAAGTAAAAAAGGTGAAACAAGAAATTACCCAAATAGAGAGCAAATAAAAACAAACAATAACAAAACTTTATAGTGCCTTTAACAAATCTTAGAATAACTCAAAATGCCCCAAACTTCAGGGCTCCAGAAATATTCAATTCGATCCCGGAAAACATAAAAAATAGTAGCTCAGTTTTCATTTTCAAACGAAATCTGAAATATTTTCTGTTTGCTATTCGTTTGTTGATGGTATATGCACTTTGTATGAAACCCTTCCTTTGACTTTTTCCATACAGCCTGTACTGTCTCAAGGAAATAATATCAAATTATTATTATTATTTTGCATCATGATAATGCACCTGCTACCTCGTCATTATGCCTCAGCCACCGTATTCACCAGATTTGGCTTCCGGCGACTTTTTCCTGTTCCCAAAATTGAAAAGACCCGTGGAAGGACAACGTTTCGCCACGATTGAGGAGATAAAAACGAAACCAAATTGCTGAGAGAGATCAAGGACATACCAAAACAATGTATATCTGAACTGCTGGAACAAGTGTATTATATCTGAGGGGGACTACTTCAAATGGGACAAAATAAAAATTGATAATTGAATGAATATTTTTTGAGAGCAATGAAAATTCATCTTATTTTTTTAACAGACTTCGTGATTCAGAGATTGTCTCGAAAGCACGATCCATGAACTAGTTTAACGTTTCACGCATAAAACCACTCAATGCTTAACATACCCAAGGCTGTGTCAACAAAAAATTATTTTGTATTCCTGGGATTAAATTATGTATTCTCATCAATTGATAGTTCAGAAATGATTCATCCTTAGTTTTTTGTGCAAATCATACTGTGATCCTGTGAATCATACTGCGAATTCAACACAAATTACATTTTAAGTCTACATACAGGCCACTGTACGTAGTCTACTGTACTCACATTTCTGTTTTTCATTTCCTTATACATCTTTCTCGATTCCTTACTTAAATTTTTCAATTTCTTTGACACCCGGTTTTTTGTTTGACGAGTTTGAAATTTCAATCACCTAGTTGAAAATGTTTCAGACTTGGCTTCGGAGAACCAGTCGAAAGGGAAAAGAATCCAGAAGATGAAGTTAATGAATATCTCATGAAAGCCATAGACGCCAGGAGTATAGACAGATTAAGGACGGAGCATTGTAAAACACTACTCCTTAATTTTCGAGATCCTGCCAAAGAAACTAAGGTAATTCAGCCAAGACGGTCATGAAAATTTTTTCTCACCTCAGAAGTAGGATATAATAATTTGATTTTTTTATCATTTCATTTCAGTATGTCCTGGAAAGAGACAGAATGCTCACGATGTATTTTTATTGTTCTGCATTCTGCTTCATCACCATCATTTTAGTTCAAGTAACTATATTTAGACGGTAAGTTGATATTTCCTTTTCCTGAATTGATCAGTTGTTTAGTATTTTATGGACGCGCTCAGGATTTTTGGTTGGGGGAGAAATTAACTCGGAACGAAGATTCCAATACAGAAAATAAACCTCTTAGAAAAAATATTTGAAGAAAAATTCTGATGAGGTGACATGAGGTCCATATTATTCATTAAGTTGCACCATGAATTAGAGACTTACCATTAGAAGCACGCTGTACAATATATGTGACAGTAAATTATTCAGCAAACAAATGATTGATATCTGTACAGTAACCGGACTGAATCACAGCCGGTGGGAAAAATCGTATCTGCATAAAATTTGGGTCGGTGTATGACAAAGAAAGTATTAGGAAAAAAGAAATAGAAACACTCGCACACCCATGTTCATTTTGTTCATTCAAAGAGTTAGGATAAATGATAGACTCAATGAAGAAACGGTGATAAAATATGTTGTTCCTCAGGGCACAATCCTGGGGCCTGTACTTTTCAATATCTATCTCAATGATTTGCTGAAACTAGATGTAGAAGGTGGTAAGTTTTGCTGACGACACAGAAATTATATATGTAGACGAGGATTGGCAATCTTTAAAAAAGCTAAACAAGATTTTAAAATAATTCAGAAGTGGTTTTGAAATCGGCTTTTCACAATGAACATCGACAAAACACACTTCATACCTTTCACCTTACCAGGATATGACACTGTTCAAATAGATGGCAACCAAACAATATCGATGTTCCGACATATCAAATATTTGGGAATATTCTTAGACTGTAATTTGAAATGAGACATCCATATCGCCTTCGTTCTGAAAAAAAATAGTTTTCCAAATCTGTTTTTCTTTCATTTATGTCTGCATACCGACAATTTACCCTTTCACATTCATATTTTTCAATTTTTTTTCAGTAACGACACCGCAATCTTGTGTTCAATCCCTACAGTATGTTTGATAATTTTCATCCCAGTGCTCGTTTATCTAGACCATATCAAAAAGCGGGTAAGCTCAGCTTCTCCGGTGATTCAAGTTTTACATTTACCATAGTTTCTATTTGCAGAGTGGAAACAAGAAGTTGTTCGCCATTTCTAGGATAATCCACCGCAACAGAAATGTAGCTCAGATCTTCTCCTGCGTGATGGCTATTTCTATCTACGGTTTGGTTATGTTTCAATCGGTGAGTGTTTTCATTATTTCTCCCACAATATCTGATCTTTACAAATAACATGTTTAGTCACGAAGTCCTATACAATGAACTATAAAGATCAAAATATGACTGGGGAATGTAAGGAAAATATGTACATACGATGAGGAAAATGAATATTTCGAAATTGAACCCTGAAACATTCAATAATCTTTTCAAAATCTGTTTTTCCGTTAACCAGCTGTCGCTCGCCTATGACTGACATCTCTCAAAAGTCGCAACTTGTGCGAGCTAAAGACTAACGAGGTCTTACCTTTCAACGTGTGATTCCTAGCACGGGTTGGGCGATAGCAAGTAAAAATTAATCGTCCGGCCTCGCGGCTTGAACCACTGGTTCACACAGCGGTTGATTGAGTGGGTGGAGTAAATCACCCACGTCAACCCAACCGGCTACCGTCCCACCTACACCATAGGTTCTGGTGAATGCCTGCCGGAAAACAACAACTTTTCCGGCGCGGTACTGAAGGGATTGAGTAAAAAAAATCACCTATTCAATCAGTATGATGGTTATTACCAGGGTGGACTTCAAAGTACCCAGCGTGACCTAGAAATGGTGATGGTTTTTGAAAAATGTCACTATATTAGAAAGTACACAATCTATAAAGCATACGTTTCAAGTTTGAAGACGCTGCGCTGTTTGGTATTTGTTTGGCAACAATTAGTAGCAAACGTTTTCGGTGAATTTGTACAAATACAGAAAATTGGTCATCGTTCTGTGGTACAATACTTTAATTTGAAAAGTCTCAGAAAGGTAGCCGTAAAAACTACCAAGACGGGCATCGCGATGAGCGATCAAATAAGGTTACGACTCCATAAATGGTGAAGAAAATCGTCAAAGCGATACTGAATTACCGTCGAATTAAAGTACGCATGCTAGCAGACTCGGTAGGCATTTGAAAAAGTGTGGTACACGATGTACCACACTTATCTGAAAATTTGGATTTGAGAAAGCTGTGTGCAAGATGGGTGCGGTGTTTACTCACACTCGAGAAAAAACAGTGTCTTGAAGATGTTTCAATTGAGTGTTTAGCGAAGTTTCACAGCAATAAAGCAGAATTCTTGCGCCGTTTCATAACCATGGATGGAACATGGGATCATCTCTTTACCTCCGAGACGAAGAGACTATCAAAACAGTGGACTCAAAAAGGAGAACCGGCTCCAAAGAAGGCAAAGACCCTTTCATCTGCAGGCAAGTTTATGGCATCGGTTTTTTGGGATGTGGGTGGGGTAATTTTCATTGACTATATGAAAACAGGTAGAACTGTCTGTATTATGTGAACGTATTGCAACGTTTGAGTAAAGAAATCAAGCTGAAACAGCCGCCGTTTATGAAAAAAGTGTTGTTTCATCAAGACGATGTACCAGCTCACAAATCCATTATCGCAATGACCAAAATTAACGAATTAAAGTTTGAATTGCTACTTCATGAATTTTATTTGCCAATACGAAAAACACTTTTCTTTATTCCGTTTGTATTCCAAACATTCGTGATGGGATCGAATCAGATATCATTCACAGGATTCCTATACATTTTTTGAAGCATCAACTGCTAAGTTATTAGCCGCATACTAGTTTTTTGTTTTTCAAATCTCATCTATTATTAATAAATTGATGGATGAAGCCGTTAACTACGTGGTACGAAATCATAATGAAAAGAGAAATGAAAATTTCTATGTTTTTTTCCACTTTTATTTGTTACTAACGTTACTGCAGTTTCGTCCTATACGGACATTTTCAAACTCATACAATAAACTATTATATTTGCGGCTTTCAAAAATGCCATCAGGTTGCTATCATCACATAGAATTTCTTTCATTGTCCCAGTTATATTATGTTGTCTCCTGGTTTCTCATATTCTGCATTCAATAAGTATATGTTGTACTGTTAGTACTGTTTGGCATGTAGAATATAGAGGTTATTGTTCTCCTAGGAGCAAATAAAGGTGTGTCATTTCTGTATGGCATTCGCAGACGTGTGTGAACAACTTGTTCTTTCCTGGTCAATTTTAGTAGTGAGACTCGCTTATTCACACTTGGTTTCGAACATTTCAGTTTCACGTTAGTCTGCCAGTCAGATTCTTCTTTGGTTTCATTGAAATTCTTCAGATCTTTTAAGTGGAGTGGTTCATCACATCCTCGTTATTCTTTATACCACAATGACTAGGCACCCACATGAAGCTGACAGTTCTACCGCTTTCCTTCATAATATAAATTCTGGCAAGAATAATCCTTAGAAGGGGGCCAAGAGTAAATTAATTTTGAAATGATCTTATGGAACTCAACAAGTCGGTACAAATTGGAAAATGAATTTCGTTTCGTGCGAATTCACAGAATAATAGAGATTGGTATATAGCGTATACTTCTGATGTGTATACGCTGGTCGTTGAGTGCATCGACCACCTAAAGAGGTGTCCATCTACAATGAATGCACAGCCCACCCCATACTCGGTATTTGATCCATCAGTATATATTTTGCAATAGTTAGGAAATTTACTGATGTTATTGTAATAGTTCAGTTTATGTTGTTGTGAGTTCAATTCTGACTTTTTCATTTCATTTCCCGAAACATTGCAATGTATATCATCTAGTTTCCTTGGAGAGAACCCCGGGAAAGCGAGAGTGAAAACTTTCGAATCTTGGATAATACGTTGCTCTCTTATGCGTGTACTTGTTGGTCTGGTTGCCGTTGGTTTTTATAGATATCAATCATTGATTTGTTTATTGAAAAAGATATCATAATTCGGGTGGTTAGGTTGACAGTATATTTTCACAGCATAGTTTGCAAGAAGTCTCGTTCTTCGAAANAGTACTTATCTATTTATTTATTGATTTTCATGGAATTATTTTCCAGCAGCTTGACTGCAAAAATGATTTGAAGTTTTATAAGTTCTATTTATTATATGCGAGCGCTTCCGATTGCTGGCTGTGCTATCATTTTCTTGGATCTACTCAAACTGAACGTTTTATCTTCTTGTGTGTTTTTTTATGCGGTTTGAATGCCTTAGTGCAGGATTACATCAGGTAATATCCTTTGTGTTGGATTTTCTCTAGGTTCACTGTTTCTAGGAATGTGTATTGTATTGTGTAGTATATTGAAATTTAGAACTTGTTGTGTAGTTTGAGTAGAGTCAAGAATATGATAGCACAGCCTGCTATCGAAAGCGCTCGCATATAATAAATAGAAATTATAAAGCTTCAAATCGAGATCCGCCTGTCCGGTACTGACGATGCCCGCCCAATAGGCTGAAACAGGTGTCTAACGGTGGCTTTTAAATTAAAATCAATATGGGAATGTTCAGAATAATACTTATCTATTTATTTATTGATTTTCATGGAATTATTTTCCAGCAGCTTGACTGCAAAAATGATTTGAAGTTTTATAACTTCTATTTATTATATGCGAGCGCTTCCGATTGCTGGCTGTGCTATCATTTTCTTGGCTCTATTCAAACTGAACGTTTTATCTTCTTGTGTGTTTTTATGCGGTTTGAATGCCTTAGTGCAGGTAATGCAGGTAAATTCACCTGTATTTGGATTACATCAGGTAATATCCTTTGTGTTGGATTTTCTCTACACTGTTTCTGGGAATGTGTATTGTATTGTGTAGTATATTGAAATTTAGAACTTGTTGTGTAGTTTGAGAAGAGTCAAGAATATGATAACACAGTCTGCTATCGAAAGCGCTCGCATATAATAAATAGACATTTGTGAGTTAGGGAAGCCACAGATTATGCTGTAGACGACCCCTCCCGATATAGAAAGCCCCGACACTCTGTCGAATGAGGCCCTCATGTCCCCCGTTAACGGATGAACAACTTTCTCATCCATCCCACCCCAGCCAGGTAGGGGTATCCCGTGAAGGGCGGCACTGATGTCTAAGGACTTCATGCCGTCACATCATCAGTCATGAACCCGTTGGTCCTTCTTGAGACCAACAATCAGCCGAAAGGGTAGGGGAGCTGGACTCCAAACCTGAAGGAAACGAGGATGACATTCTGAACGCATTTGTATGTTAGGGAAGCTATGGATTATGCTGTAAACGACCCCTCCCGATATAGAAGGCTCCGACACTCTGTCGAATGAAGCCCCTATGTCCTCCGTTAAATGATGAACAATTTTTTCATCCATCTCACCCTCAGCCAGGTAGGGGTACACCATGAAGGGCTGCACTGATGTCTGAGGATATTCATGTCGCCATTCCACCATCAATTGTCCCTCTGACAAACATCAGTTGAATGGGTAAGGGAGCCGGGCTCCAACCTATCCGAAACCAAGATGGCTGTCGGTAAAGCATTTGTGTTTCAGTCTAGCGCCACCTATGATACCTGTGGTGGGTCGAAACAGCGCTATCTTGGCAAGGCAAACAAGTCAGTAAATTAGCAGACTGTCTTTTTTAAGGGCAAAACACAAGCACTACAGAAAAATCCTTGAGGCGCTATAAGAGCAATGCCTGTGCGCAAGTAGCGATTCACATTGAATTTTAATCGCTGGAGATTGAATTCATTTGGAAAAACGTCCTCAGGAAGTTGATCCCACATAGACGCAGGTCTTCAAATAAGAGAGTTCTTGGACAGTGAAGTTCGAGGTGTACTGAGTTGAACCACAAAACGATGCCACAGTCCGTCGTGTATTTCTAATATGTATCGTTCTTGGTGGAATCAAATGTGTCAAGTCCCTTGAACACTTTCCGTGAAAGTATCTATAGGAGAGAGGGAAATCCCCAATAGTTTTTCGATGTTCCAGTCTATCAAGGTTGCAAGTGATGTTATTGTCTCAGGGTTTCAGGGTATGCTCAGGGGCGGAGCTCCATACATGAGAACAATACTCCAAAGAAGGTCTAATCTGAGCTTTATAAAGCATCAAAAGTTGCTGAGATGTGTACAGTTTTCTGATTCGGAACAGTGTGTCTAGCTTTTGAGAAGCAGCCTATCCAATTCCAACGACATGATTGTACCAAGATATATTGTTGTCCATTTTAACCCCCAACAAACTTATCGAAGCAGAAAGCGAAAGAAGCAGAACCTGACATTATTATATTCGGTTCGGAGACATTTATCTTTTCGGAGAAAACCGATGCCTGGGTTTCTGTGGCATTGAATTGAACCTGGTTAGTTCCACTCCAATTCGAAATCACTTCTAGATCCTCATTAAGATATGTAACCTCCTACTGCCGGTGAAGATGTGCCTCCGCAGCCGGTGTCCTGGAATCCAAATGGAATGACGAGACAAGTGTGCTGTTTTCAGGAAAGCTGACAGCAACACACATTGTTATACAGTAAAATGAGTGTTGGAGATGATATGGCTCCCTGGGGAACACCAGCGTTGATGGTAAAGTGTTCGAGAGATATCCATCGACGGCCACTTGCAGGGAACGTTCTTACTCAACTTTGTTCATTTCTCTGATTGCAGAAATTTATAAACCCAAAAAAAACATTGAAAAACATTGAGTCCTTCACAAAAATGTTTCTCAAAAAATATTCGGTTTGTGCTAATAAAGGCTTCTCTTTTCACGATGCCACTGTTCACATCTGTAACCCCAAATTAATTGAGGTGATTTTCATTCTGTTCTGTTTCCAACGAGCGCACTCACTCTTCCAAACAGCCGTTTCCATACATAATTTCCCGTTTTGTAGTATCTCTTGCTGCTGGTTATGGTCTCGATGATAGCCTGCGCCGTGTATCAAATCCTCATATCGCTCCTGAAGACAATCATCCTGCTCGGAGGAATGGCCGGTTTCCTGTCTGCGTACATCACCTACAAAGATGGACTGCAAGCGATTATCCCCTGCTTCCATACTACGAGGTGAGTAGAAAGTTTATTTTTGAGTAGAAATTTAGCAGGAGTTGAGTTGACTGGCGGAGACATTTCCTTTCTCAAACATATATTATCGATATAACGGGTGATACTGAGATTTTCAATCAAAAGTTTGGAGCTATCAAACAGAACTCATTTGCTCCGAGGCCAACTCGACAATAATAATTATAATAATGTTTATTTGCATAATGAAATAAGATCTCACCAAACAATGTAACACATGTAAAAAACAAGTAAACAGAAAAATCACAAAAGTAGTTCAAACTGTTTGTACGTGATATAATGACACATCCAGGTGAAGTCATATTTGGGGTTTTTGATGAGTACCATGTAGAGTAAATTTCACACTTCGGTAAATGACATAATCAGGAGGTACCCTTTTTTCCAAATACTCACTCTTTCATTCTATAACGATTGTTGTCATATAAAACTCTCTTAATAATTCTAACTGTTACAATGTCAGCAGCAAATGCAAAAATGCCTAAT